GGTTTGCCGCATCAACCGCGAAATGTGTTTGCTGCGACGAATACACTTTACGATAATGCACACCAAGCTTCTCGGCTTTTATCTACGAGTGAGGATCTTTTAAAGTTTTCAGGTCGCGAATCATGCTCGAAGATCTAGTCTTTGCGATCGCCAGACGGTTTTTTTTCCAATATATTAATCCTTTTTGTTTGTAACTTACTTTTACGTAGTGTCCGAAACTTCGATCTTGATAAAAAAATGTATAAAGAATTGAAGTCGAAAGTTGAAGTGTTTGAAACCAGCAGAAAACATGAAAAACTTAGATAGAAGTTCTTCTTGCCTATATTTTACTAATATCCCGCAAATTTTATGGGAATCACTAAAATATTCGCTTAAGGTCGCCTCAGCTAATATTCTCGAGATCCATTTTACCAATTCGGAAATGCGCGCGGAAATGTAAATTTTATTGCAATACGAATAGGAAAAGTTTCGTTTGCAAATTTTGTCGTCGATGGTGTTCTTTCGATTCCTAGGCAAAACTTCGATTGGATTAATACGATGTCACGAGCAGCTCGTGGATTCTTCCTCTCACCAAGTTTTCAGTTGCTTTTCTCGTCCTTTTTGCTGCTCCGTTAAACTGAATAACAATGTCGGAACTCCTTGTAGAATCACTAGACGAAGCACCTTTGAGACTTGATCATAATTGAACCGGGTTTCAATTTTGCTAGAATAATAAGTTTTTTTCTCAGTAGAGAATTTCTTTTGTACTCGCTTTTGATTCTTATAAGTGTTCATAAGGATATATTAAGGATGTATTATATTTTTACAATTGTATTAATAATTTATACTTTAAATAAATTGTGTACATAAATTATGTATATAGTTTATTTAAAGTATAAATTAATTTTAAATAAATTATGTAAAAAGTTGTGTTTTTAACCATTTATTTTTCATGAACAACATATTTTTATTGTTTATTTACTTTATTTGTCATTGTTTTTATGAATTAAAATTATAAAAAGTAATGATAAAAATTTCGAAATTTGTTTGCATAAGTACTTGAAATATTCAAAATGATTTAGTTTCATTGCGATTCAGAGATTAGACTTTACAAAGATTTAGAAGAAATAAATATTTTGTTTATTTATGAAACAACTAATTCTTTGCATCGTAATGCGACTTTTATAAATCATCTCGAATACTTAAAGTATACTTGCATGAAAAAATTAAGATTTTTATCATTATTTCATAATACATTTCCATACATTTCTATTAAAGCGCAGATTAAAATAATATTATTTATTTTGAAATAACTTTTGATCCAGATGGTAAACCGTCACTGACTTTTTTATTACTTAAAAAAGCGATTTAAAATAATCTAATTTTTTCATAACTTTTTCATCATTTTGAAAATATATCAAATACATCCTAACGTGTAATACATCCAATTAACAGAATCAACAGAACGTTAATCAGCGAGTCAGGAAACTTTCCGAAAATGATAAAATCATTATTAGCAAGAAATGTCATCAACGTATTGATATTAATAACCGGCAGTCTCTCGTGTGCATCGAATCGTTTGTCAATATTTACTTTGACACATTACATCTAGTGCATCTCGCGCACACAGTTATTCGCCGGCAGCAGTATCGAGGAAGGCAATTGAAGAAATTGATCATTCATACAGATAAACGTTGTTTTACGAGTCGATATATCCGTCTTTCATGATACAGTGCGTGGACCTTCGCTTGAATGTAGAATACCGAAAGCTGAATGAGGGAGAAGCGACAGATATGTCGATAGGCGAGCATCGATCATCTTTATTTTACGAACGACAGTTTGTAAAATACAAGAGATTTTTGCGAATTACACGGTTATGTACACATCGTGTAAATAGAAAAGCTCCGTTCTTGCTATTGATTCCCCGTCTTTTCAAGCGTACCCTATATACATTTCAATGCCATGGAAATGAAATGGCCGACGTCACTCTGCGGCTCGAAAGTGAATGGAGGGAAACACATCACGTGTTTACACGCAAGATATTTGTCTTTCTCAGTGCGCGCTGCGAAACATCGGTCGCTCCAGTTCCACTTCGAATACACCGACTCGGTATAATGCCGTGTTTCCATCTTCCTTGATATCGGTACAAGTTATATGTTTGCCGTCGCTTCTGTTCGCATCACCATTGACTAAGAACTTGTCCGGAGTTTACATAATTTGTAAAGTAATATCGATAAATAAGTGATATAATCGAGCCGACGGGGGTCGCATTACGACGGACACGAGCCGTCTCCGGGACTGAAGTTAGATGGGGTCAGTTGTCGGGTGTACATCCAACTTCAGGACAGTCTAATTAAACTATACTCAATTATAATTCCTCCGAATTACCCGGTGCATTCCAGTACACGAGTATCGGCTCGGATATGGTATGCCGTAAATTTACTTTCTAATTAAAGTGCTATGCTGAACTACGATTGAACCGTGAAGCGCAAAATTTAATCTCCCCTTCTTATTTTCTCATAAAATATAGAAAACTTTCTTTTTATCTCTTCACCATAGAGCGACCATTGGCTGCTCCGAGAAGCCCATATTGAGTGATTACTTTGTCACGCCGGTTGCTATTTTTCTACTTTTATCGTTAATTATCACGACAGTGATTAATTATCGTTATTTGCGCATCGTATAGCTCCTACACTTCTTATTTGCACCTTCAATTATTTCAGCTAAAATTAGCTGTTTTATCTCATGAACTTTTTTATTATCGTTACGTAGAGGTTTTATACGTTCTATATCTTCGGTTTGCATTGACATCGGGGTTTCTCTCTCGTGGTTCACATCTAGATTACTCGTGAATTGAATCTCCGTTATATCTCTGACGTAGACACGCGTCAAGCGCTTCTGTTCAGTGGGCCAACCGGGTTTACTCCGAAATCAGCGAGCCAGCGAACTGAATGATTCGGATTCAGCATAAGTTACCACTCGGTGGATATATCCCTTAATTCTCGTGAGCGAGTCAATGCTCGTCGCAACGTGCCTTCTGACATCAAAGCTCGATTCTGCGATGTCCGCGCACCATCGGTTCCGAGCGTAGAAATGAGATTTCCTTGGAACAAAGTTACCGAGTTTAGTCCCGAATATTCCTCTGGCTACATGATTCCTCTGTTTATCAAAACTTTTCTAATTCTGTAAAATTTTATATTTCTTTTAGAAATTGTTCTTTTATAAATTGTCGCAAGTTGAGTTAAAAATATCAGTGTAAATTTATCGATAATTTTCATGAAATGTTACATAAGAATGATGTGTTTTATGATGCACAAGTCTATGTAAGATTTATACAGTAAAAATCATTTTTTATTTGTGTTAGAGACGCTTCGTTCAAGTCCTTGTTAAAATTTTATGTTGAATTTTTAATATATCCTAGTGTTAATTTAATGTGACTGTATTATTTAAATATTTTGTGGTAAATTGATATTTAACATTTCTTAGTGTAAAAAAAACATAATTTATGAGTAAATAAATAAATAATATAAAAATTATGTTTTTTAAAATTTAAATTCTAACATAAATGAATAAAATGGTAATTTAATATTACAAATATTAAATTTATTGAAATATGTTAATTTAAAATTATAATTGTAAATATTATAAATGTTAATTTTGATAAATGAATATTTAGGATTGCTTACAAATTGTATCATTGCCACGTTTTTATGTTAATTTTTTTACATAATAATTGTTTTATTTCCTAATGTATTCATCTTGACTAACACAAAAATTTGTAGACCATTTGGGACATGTGAAATGTGTTAAAAACATAAATTTTCTAATTGTATAAACATTAAAAAAAAATGTGTTTTTAATTTTAGCACAGTACAATAAAATTGATACAATAAAATTGCTAATTCTTTAAATTCTTTGGAATCTCACTTTTAGGAGTAAAAATTAAGGCAATCTTGAAAAAGAATGATTCAATCTTCAATCTTTAAGAGTGAGATTTCTTCAAAGTGAGATTCACTTTAAAAGTTTTAGAGAGTATCATGAAAAAGTTAGAATTAATGTTTATTTTTATCAATGTAGATTAACTTTAATCTCGGTTTAATTCATTTTTTATTTTCTTCTAGTTCTAAGAATTAAAAAAAAATTAAATTAAACTGAGATTAAAGTTAATTTACATTGCATTGGCAGAAATGAACATAAATGGATGAAATATCGACTTTCACAAAGTTATAGAGAACTGCTCTCATTTATTTTGAAAATAGATAAGGCGATAAAAATAAGAGATTGCAGAAAATCTCACTTGATGACTCGAAATTCTTTAAAATAATTTTTACTTTAACGGTTTTTTTATAAAAGTTTGAGGTCAGAATATAATTTAGATATTTATCGATAATTACATTTAAATTCTTTGAAGTGAAAAATCAGTCTAAAAAATAAAAATCGAGCGAATCTCAAAAAAGAGTGAGATTTCATTCTTTCGAGTGAGAGTTAAAAAATTTCAGAGTAACATGACAAAAGTTACAACTAATATTCATTTTTAACAATATATATTAATTTTAATCTCCGTTTAACTTACTTTTTATTTTTATCTATAAGAATCTTCAAGAATAAAAAAAAAAAATTAATTTAAACCGAGATTAAAGTCAATTTATATTAATAGAAATGGACATAAATGGATGAAATATCGATCTTCACAAATTTACAGAGAACTGCTCTTAATCGTTGTAAAAATAATAGAGACGATGACAAAAAAACCAGACACTGCAGGAAATTTCACACGATGACTCGAAATTCTTTAAGACATTTTTCACTTTAACGATTCCATAAAAACAAATTTGAGATCGAATGTAATTTAGATATTTGTCGATAATTACATTTTGCATAATTCGAAGTAAACTCGTTTGCGGCAGTCTGTGGTGGCCGGCAGGGCAGTGAGGGGTGGAGGGAATGGTGGGAGTCGACGCGCGCGGCCATGTGCTCGCCACTCGCGTCGTAGCGCTCGATCAGTCGACGCCGCGCGCTCGCACCGAACGGATCTTCGTTATCTGAAGGATACCTCCTCGCAAGACGAACGCGTTACATCTACGATTCGCGAGCGTTCCCTTTCTCGTTCTCCACGTACGTGTGCGTATATAAAAACTCACGCACGCACATTGTGCACATTGTCACGTGATCCGCGCGCAGCGCTGTTCCTAATGCACTTTTTCCGAGCGCGCGATGACGACGGTAATCGCGCGTAATCGTCTCTCGCATCCTTCGAGCCTTGTGTGACGCGCCTTTCCGTTCGCGTGGAAAGCCGTCGCGAGGGAGAGGAGCGAGCGCTAATCGAGAGAGGAAAAGAACACTCGTGCTGGAGCACTCCACAGCCATCTCGAAAAATGTCAAGGTGATCGTCTCTCCCTTCGCGTCTCTCACCCTCTGACGTCTCGAGGAAAAAAATACTTGTACATACGCGTGAAACGTGTGCTTTTTCTCGCGTTGGATCCGGATCTCGTCGGTTCGGCGTTTACACGCTCCCCGGTCTCTCGCGCCCCCCCCCCCCCCCCCCCCCCCCCCCCCCCCTCCCTCATCGTCGTATCGCACATCCTGGAGCGTGGATCCTCGTCCGACCCAACACGTCCGTCGGTTGAGAGAGCGAACCAGTCAGAATGCATCACACGGCGCCGTGGTATCTACCCTGGGGCCTGAAGCTGGTGCCGCTGCCAATTCCGCCGGGACATCCGGCCTCCGGTATCCCGAATCCCGCTGGTCTACACCTGCTGACACCTTTACCTGGAATCTATGCACCGGAGCCGCGTAAGGTATGCCACGATTCCTCTCTCTTTCTCTCTCTCTCTCTCTCTCTCTCTCTATCTCCGGTGTTCCGCGACTTTGTCATTCGGAAACTTCGTTGTTAACTTTCTCCCACGGGACGTTCCATACGTCCTTTCCTATATAGAACGAAAAACTTCATTTTGAAAGTACACAACGACGGACCGAGGGAGAGTTATCTCGATGCGTCGCCAAAAATTGAGTTAAGCCGGGCTAGAAAAAAGTTGGAAATTGATTTTGTGCCCCGAAGACGGAGACTCCGGGACTCGAACGACGTATATATCGTGCTTCTCATTCAACCTGCGAAGTTTTAAGTTTACTTTGAATCGCCGAGATTTAAAGTTCGTTACTTCGAAGAAAACGTATTTCGCCTCTTTTCATTTTCGCCCTACGAGTTGTTCGATGCTTGTACCTTGGTCGAAAGCATCGTTTATTGAGAATGAATCGACGAAGTGGTCGTGATTGAAAAGTTGCAACGTTGTTTCGCGGAACTGGAACCGTCTTCTCTTCTTTCGCGGAAATCACCTACGAGCGATGCTTTGAGCGATTGCTCATTCGTCAATGGTAATATTTGGGGCATGATTTATTTATATCCGATGATGCCGCGAATGAGATATAGATTGGAATAGATATTGCTTTAGGAGCTGTGATAGTTGATAGAGAAACGAGTTATAGACGATTGCATCGAGTGTTATGCATGGGTGACGTGAGCAGTAAGATGATGTGCCGCGTTCTTACTTCTTCAAATCACGCTGTGAATCACGCTGTGTTGCAATCGAAGCATTAGATCTTTTTATTCAAAGTAAGAATTATGCACTGCTAGATATCAAAGGAGAATGTTATTTCGCTCAATTCCTTGAGTTAAATAACATTTAACTTCTTGTGTGCTGAAATAGAAATTAATCATCAATTTCTGTGATTAGTTTTTAAAGTGAATAACGTCCACATTAACATGTGCACTTATTTAATAAATAGTAAATTGAATTTTTGAATGAAATTTAATACATTTTCTTGAGTTAGATTGTTTAACTCTATTTTAGTTAAATTAATGACATATTGGCGATATAAAGAAATAATTAAAAGTAACTCAAGTTGGGAATATAAATTTGACATAGTAAATTTAATTATGTGAAATGATAAGTAATCTTGATTTAGTTGCAGTGCGTGTCTCGCTGAAATTGTAGTTAAAGGTTTTATATTTGAATACCTTGATAAATAATTACATTTCATTCAGAGAAAAATATGATGGCATTATAAATACTGTTAAATCTATAGCGTCAAATTTAATCTAATTTATAAAGCCGTCACTACTTCTACTCAATATATCATTATTTTATACTAAAACAACGGATTTGACACTGTGGGTGCGTTCCACTTAACGTTAACAACACTCGCGAGTATTATTTGATCCTTTTTGTCATCAAATATTAAACAAGGATGAGATAATACATGCGAGCATTGTGAGAGTTATTGATGGAACGCACTCTATATAGTGTCAAATTTATCCATTGTTTTAGTATAAAATAACGATTTATTGAGTATAGTGGTGACTTAAATTATATTAAATTTGACATTATAGATTTAACAGTGTGGATATAAAAGAAAGCAATAATAATCCAATTCCTTCAATCAAATAACATTTCGTTAATTTTAACTTCTATGCGCATTAAAACGTATTTCAATACATACGTTTAGTAAACAAAGTAAACAACGTTCACATTAATACGTATGCACTTAGTAAATAATAAACTAAATTTGAGTCAAATTTAATGTCAATTTCTTGAATTAAATTGTTTGACTACATCATTTTAGTTAAATTAACGGTATATTTAATAGAAGCAGGCGACCGATAGAAATAATTAAAATAACTTAAGTTGGGTAGAACTTAATATGATGAATTTAACAATGTAAGATGATGTTAAATAATTTAATTGCTATGCGTGTTTCGCTGAAATTGTATCTGAAGATTTCGAATACCTCATTTGATAAATAATTACATTGCACTTACAGAGAAAAGCATAGTTGATGGCATTATTAACGTCGGATATCAAAAAGACAATGGTAACCAATTCCTTCAATTGAATAACATTTGTTAATTTCAATTGTACGTGCGTCAAAATGTAAATCAATACATTTACGTGTTTGATTTCAAAGTAAACAACGTTCATATTAACACGTGTGCACTGTGTAAATAATAAACTAAATTTGAGTCAAATTTAATACATTTCTTGAATTGTCCAATTTTATTGTTCAGTTAAATTATTGACATATTTAATAAAACATTGGCGACCTATAAAAATTACAAATCAAATTTGATACAAATTAATATTATAATTTTAACGATGAAAGTAACAATTATACAAGTTTCATATATAAAATTAATGTACATAATAAAATGAATTATTTTATAGCTGCATAAAATTATTTATTCAATTATATAGCGGTACATTCTACATATAAAACTTGTATAGTTGCTACCATCTTGTATATTTTTCTCTGAGTATGTAATATTGCGTTAAATTGATAAAAAAATCTTTTCATGGATATACACAAAATATTTCTTTATGCATATCATTAATTTTTGTCAAGATGTTAGAGATGATTGAAATTAAGAAACAAGCACACCGAAATTCGATTCGCTATAAGAAGCATTTATATATTATTCATAATAATTAACAATACATATCATATCGCGTGTAACGGGTCCTCCTATTTATAAATAATTAGACCGGTCCGTGTGCCAAATTCAATCCAGTTATCTGGTCTGTCTGTCTGTCTGTCCTTAGCGCGCTTCTATTCTAGGTAAAATCTAAATAGTCGACGCGTACGAAGGCGAATGTGCATCTAAAATAACCCGCAGAATGCTCGTCGCGTGTATTAGAGATAGCATGACGAGTATTCATACCAGTCGACGCGCTTACACGTCCGCAAAGAGTCAGCAACCCTAGCTTAGAGGATCTTTGAATTCGAATTTGCCCAGATACGATGTGAACGATGAATGTTGAATATTTCACGTTGCGTTGTGAATTACGATCCGATATCTGGTAGCAAAAATTGGCCCGGCCCGGTATCAACGATAAGCGAGTCAATTTGTGCGCGATGTCTCCGCCCAGTTTTTTTATGACAAACGAGGATATTATCTTCCTTCACATCTTTTTATTATTTTTTTTTATTTATATACTCTTGGAAATTTTTGGGGTGGAATATAATTTTAAAGAGTCAGTGTTGAAAAAGAGTGGTTTAATTATCAATTTTTTAAGAGATTTCACTTTTTAAAGTTATACTCCATTTTAAATATTTTAGAGCGTACACACTGAGAAAAAAATACTTAAAAATTTATTTGTGAGAAATATACTTACTTCACTGAAATAAATCTTTATTTAAATACGACGGAATAAAATTTCCTTCCCAGCAAATAAGCCATGTACTTTTTCTTTTTTTAATAATTAATCAGATGTATTGTATTTCATAGAAATGTATATTTTGAAATGTATATTTCCTTATAAATTTGTTCACAACTAATAAATATCGAAGAAGACGTAAATAACGTTCCCTTCAACATTTTCTCTCAGTGTAGCAGCTTTAAAAGAGAAAAAGGAAATAAAGTAGAATCGTCCTCTCACGAAATCAGGATTCTAGTAATAAGAGACGTGAAACTTTCGTCGCAAGTTGCGATTAGCGAAATCCGATTCAACTCCGAACTTCTTTCGCGCGCGCTTCATCAAACTTGATATAACTATATGTAAATCTCTCTTCCCACGTGTTTGGCGCGTACTAATGGTCTCTTAATGCTGTTGCACTTAAAACGTGCATTATTAATGGATCGATCTCGAAGCGCGCAGAGGTGGAGGATAAGTGTTTTTTCTACCGCGTTTCGAGTGGTTCGTTTCGTACACCATTGGTCGGAAAGCTCGAATTGACTTGAATTTCCAGGACTGAGGTAGAATATAGAGATGCTCGCGATATAGGGGCCGTCTCAGAATAATGAAATTACCGGGGAGGCAAAAGTGGTCCGCCTTCCTTGCATTCCCGTCCTTCTCTCAGACCTTCCCTTGGGTGAAGACCTGGGGATTCTCCTGAAAATTCGTGTCGAGCAGGTACCGTCGACATAGCGCACCACCGTACCGGCGAGTATGTTCCAACGGTGCGGTAAACGTTTCCCGAGTGCATACCTATAATTTGACGAGCACTTTGCCGTCGCTTTACCGTGTTCAGGCGAGCGGCGCTTTTCCGCTCCTGCCCGCTCGCTTAGAACGGCATTACCGTAAGTCGTAGGATATGGAGTCTTCGGGATAGGAAAGGAAGAAGGTCACGTATGGTCGCACACCGACTATCGTGCCACGCACGATAACATCGTTCGAAAAACTCTTAGTTTAAAAAAACCAACTTATGTCTATTTATACCAATGTAAAGTAACTTTAATAAGCTCAGTTTAATGTACTTTTTTCTAGTTCTAAGCATTGGAGAAAAGTACACAGTTGGAAAATTTGTGTTAAATTTAATATATTTGACGTGTCCCAAGCGGTCTGTTTAAATTTTTATGTTAATTTAATACAAAATGAATATGTTAGATAATAATATAAATATTATGCAACAAAATTGTTATGTAACAATTTTATGTTAAAAAATTAACATAAAATATTATAATATAGGTAACATTGACACAATTTGTAAGCAAATTTGCTGAATTTGTGCGAGCGATTACGAATCAATTTTCATCTAATAGCACATTTTGGCGAATCCGTGGTTGAAGGGAGAATCGATGATGGTTCTGATATCGCTCGTATGTGTCTCGTATGCGTTAGCCAAAATTTACTGATCACGAGACACGCTTCTGCCTTTCTGGACATGTAGATCACGTAGTTGGGATAATGCAGCCGAATCTAACCTGCGGATGTATGTTGCACGCCAACTCAGATCCGGGAATGGACGATCGCACGCGCGAGGAAACTTCATGAGCAAACAGGTGCGCCATGTCTTCGATCGGTTT